AAATTAAACCGACCCAGTAAACCATAAAACGTGATTAAAACGTTAATATAACGTCACAGGTGTTACATCAAACATAGTGGCTACGTAACCTAGAAGGCACACATACTCTTTTCACCACAAAAACCTAACGGCCTGTTATGTTGCGCGATAACGTAACGGTTTCGTTTTTGTTACTTTTACAAATTGCGCAAAAACGTAACGGTTTCGTCATTGTCGCGTTTCCAAATAACAAAATAAACGTGCAGGTGTCTTTGGTGTAACTTAAAAATTTAATAAAATCAATTTTATTATATATTCAAATGTTCAAAAATTTCAAGATCCAGAAATTTTGATAGCTGTATAGTGAAAATATAGAATAACTAATGGTGGCATCGTGCCTTAAGTCAAATTGCTGGAACTTCCAGTACCGTAACGAAAAGATCGAGGAATATTAAATGTTTTCAAAGAGATTATTATAAATATTGTAACATTGTCTAATATTTATAAGAATTATATAAACTGAATTGCAAAGTTAGAATTATTTATTTAAAGTATATTAGAACTTTAGTCAGAATTAAAATTAAAATCTGAATTATTTTCAATGTACAAAAAAAAAATCTTGAAAAAAAAATTGAAAAAAAAATTAGGTACAATTTTTTTTCCCAAAAGCAATTATTTTGTTAAAACAAGCAGAAAGTTCTTTGAATAATTAAAATCGGACGCTTAGTTCTCACAAAAACTGCCATGTTTTGCACATTTAGTTCTGTATCTTCAAAATGGCTAGACCTGCCTTTGCTAAAAACTAATCACATTTTCTCCCAATCATTACAAATTGAATGTTTTTTTAGATCATTCAAATCGGATGCTCCGTTCTCTCAAAAACCAGATTTCTATTTTTTGCACTCTCTGCTCTTGATCTCCGTAACGGCTGGACTTGCCTTCGGCAAAAACTAATCAGCACATCTCCCTATCAATAGGAATCGAATATTTTTCTATGCGCCCGAAAACGTAAACGAAAAAATGCAGATATACAAAACACACACACAAATCCATTTTTTCTGAGGTATGCCAAAATAATTAGAAACCTTTAAAACGTCGAGAAATGCAAAATTTTCATTTTCGATTTTCGGTCCATTAGTATATCTACCCTACGTGAAGTTAAAAAATGTATAACACAAAATGTAGAATGTAGAGTACAAGAAAAGTAGAATATAAAATTAGAAAAAATATTCAAAATGCAAAATATAGAATAAAAAATATAAATTTTATAATTAAATATTTAAAATGGATGTCAATCACAAATTGAACTAGTACAACAATTGTTAATCTCTGTTAACGCATTACTCAAGCCTGGCGGAATAATATTATTATATTTTATTACCTTCATACAGGATAGCAATAATAAACCCTCTCATTGTCATGCATCCTGTCCCTAAATCTATCATCATACCATTAATTCATTTTTCTAAGAACCTCTAATCACCTATACCCGGTTCAATTCCACGTACCATGGAATCACCGGTTAATACCTGATTGGTAAAAAATGTAATGAGATGTCGCTTGAACCCACAAAAACAAACCAACCAGAAACATAATGTAAAATTGTAAAATCTTTGTAATTTAGTAATATCCTAAATTTCATCTAACAAACATCAAGTATTAATTCAAACTTCAACTAGTAACATATCATCTATAAATCTTAACATCATATTATTTCATTTAAATATACAACAATTAAACTACTTATCATCTTTTAATCGGTCTGATATAGCCTTTATCTGAACATATCTGGTCCTTCAAAAATATAAACAAAGTGTAATTTTTAATAGAGTTTGGCAGCTTCTTGGTGGATCACAAACTTCTTATACATTTTTGTAATCTATCTTGTCACAACAATCTCTTAAGAGATGTTTTTAATTAGAAATATATAATTAGCTTTTTCTTTAATAACCTTTTTCTTTCACAAACATATAAAGACAGCCTATATATAATTACCTAGTTATATATCACAAATATATAGCTCAATATGTAGAGCGCAGTATATATATATATATATATATATATATATATATATATATATAAAATGTAAAATTTAGAAAGTAAAACCCAAAGTACAAAAAAATTAAAAGTGAAATAAAAAATACAAAATTCAAAACATAGAATATAGAATGTAACATAGAATATGAAACATAAAACATTGAAAATAGATCATAGATCATAGAACATAAAACGTAGAAAATAGAACATAAACTTCAAATGTAGAAGGTCAATCGCAAATTCAACTAGTGAAATGAAGTTATATTCAATTAAAAACAGATCCATATTTGGGTATCACAATCGCATGATATCAGATTACTTGTATTATGAGTTTGAACCGAGTACCAAATAAAAGATAATATTTATGATTACTTACTCTTTGCTTAATTTGCCGTAATATGACATCTGCTTCACACTCAGGAGATCGATTAGCTGATTTATTTAAAGTTTCTTCAAATCCTTCCTTCTTCAGCACCATCACTAAAATGTCAGCAATATAAATCAAGCCAACTTAGACTAAAATATAGTTTCAGTAAATTTATAAAATATTATAAATTGATATAAACTAATTTTATTAAATGAAAAAAATAATACTCCATGAAGACATTGCCTGACAAAAATTTGTAAACTTTGTTGTTAATATTATACTTTCAGATTATATAACCAATTTTCAGGTAATACTCATGTAACTACCCTTTATACTTAACATGAAACCTATTTTATACTACTTTTAAACTTTAATCATTTCTCTTATATTATTTATTTCCTGATTCCAAATTCCATAAAGAGCCTATCCTTTCCCTTACCTCTAGGTGCGCTCGGTTGCCGCTTCTTCAGCTGATTTTCAATCTGCGCCCTCTGATATTCCATCAACTGTTGTTGATAATCCTTTAACATTTGCTGATATTCTTCGTGCTGCTTCCTCATATCCAAGTGCGCCACATTCATCAACATGCTGTCGGTGACTTCGGCGTTATCGGCCACGGTTGTCCCTGCTCCTGGACTTGCGCCACCGTCGGCCAAACGGAAGGAAGTCATCGAAATGTTGCTGATCACTGGACGGGGTGAACCAGACCTGGGGGGGGGGGAATAATGTCATACACTAAAGTGCGATTTATAAACTTCCCAGTGGAGAAGTTTCTGTTTTCGCCAGAAAGTCGGATTTGCTAATTTTATGTTTGCTCAATGTTTCAAATCATTCTGAATCATTTGAGACTAAAATTAGAAAAAGTATGTGTGTGACAAAGTTTGATCTTTTTTTTTTTTTAAGTTTTTTTCAAGACATTTTTGAAAAAAATTTACTCTGAAAAAATTAGATTTTTGAGAAACTATAAATTTTTAACAAAAATTTACTTACTTATTTTATTACTAAAATGTTCAGAAAATTTTTAAATGTAAAGATATATAAAAATTTTCATGTTCGATTTTTTTGCGAATACTATAACTTGCCCTACGGGAAGTTAATAATAAACAGTACTTATTATAATTATACTTGAGTGGTTTAGCAGCTGCATTATATTTGTGACCAACATCACCAGGTTTAACTTTATCCGCAGGATCACAAGAACCTGCTCGGAATGGATCATAAGTTGTAGGTGGTTGAGATGCAGTCTCTAGAGCTAAAAATATAATATTTAAAATTTGATTTTAAAAATATGTATTATTGAACAATTATAGATTAAATCTAAATATCTAATTTAGATGATTGTCAATAAATTTGAGGTGGAAAAAATTCCTAATGATATTCAAATATATGTGGATCTTTATAAAACATAGGCTGATTAGATGTTATAGATCTATTATAAATATTAAAATTGTAGAAGAATATGAGACACAACTGATTCATTAATATACATAGCTAATAAAAAATAACTGATGCTTCATTTTAATATTTTTAACCTTTGTCTATTATACTATACTTACTTTTATTATTTATTAATTATAATTTTTATTAATATTTATCATTAAATTAATGTTAAAGAATGTTTTACATTTAATTTAATTTTGCTTTCATATCTTTATTTTCAAATAAAAGTTACCTGGTATGGCCTGGAATGGTTTTTGATGAAAATCATGTGGATAGGAACTGTGTTGGTGAAATGGGACTACTCCGTTCATGTGATTCTGGTACAGGCTGTAGGAATATTAGATTAGAAAAAAACATATTATGCTAAGAAAAAACAATATATCTAGAAGTGCAAGGACCTGAGTTATTGAGAAACAAATTTCCATAATATTTACTTAAATCTCTATTATTACTCACTTGTCATATATATCGATGGGCCCATAAGATCTAACATAAGCATGCCTGACAGCAGAAACAATAGTATCATGAGTTGTTGTATCATAGACGTTTCTGTGCCCTGCATTCATTTCCACGACGCGCTTGAAGAGCAGACGATTCAGGCGAGAGTCTGACAGAGGATCAGAACCTGGTGCAAAAAATTATGCAATGAAATACACCAAAATAAATGCTGTTAGATCACTCAAAAGGTTACATAAAAAGACAATTTTCATCTTACCCATGTTGTATCTGCGAGAAAGCTGATGAAGAACAGCACAAATTTTTGGGATACGAATTGATTTAAAATTTTGAAAATCTGCATCCAAAAGTCGCAGTTCTGTTTTACCAGCATCCGTGTCCTTTGACTGGATTCGAGACTTACGCTCCTAAAACGTGAATTTGTTTAAAAAAATCACATATAAAGCAACTTTTTGTTTCCTTGGTGACTTACTCTGTATCTCTGCATGTCATCAAACAAAAACAGTGTATTCTCCGCCATTTCCTGCAACTCCGCACTCATTGCCACAGGACTGTGCTCACTCACGTCGTCCTTTCGAACTTTAGCAGGTGGAGTAGAAGGAACTGTAATTGGAGGCGATGGCCCAAATGGATCCGATAGAATATCTAACACATGAGGATCTTTGGGATTGGTTGCGGAAGGTGAAGCGGCTGCTGGAGTTTTCTTTTTGGTCGGACTTCCGAAAACTTCGGATGGGTCCATGAAGATGGAGCGAACTTTGCGGTCTACGTAGTGGTCGAAGAATGGAGGAGCAGCTCTGGGAGTAATTGACTCATGTTTATTATATATAGATACATACATATGGGTAATTTATTAACACTCACCTCTCGCTTTCTACTTTTCCGGCCGCGTTAAACTGGTTAAAATCTGAAAAATTACATAGATATATATATAATATATGTATATATATATATATATATATATATGTGTGTGTGATTGTGTGTAGAGCTTTGAACAAAGTATCCAAAAAGTAATAAAAAACAAAAAAGTTTTTTAAAAAACCATTTCTTTACTTATTTACTATCGACGTTTCGGAACGTTCCATCTTCAGGACAAGAAACGTGATCTTGATAACAAAATATATATTCTACTCCATCCAATTTCAATACTGATGTAGTATATTCTGTTACTTCAATGACTGTTTTTTTCCAATACATTGGAGAAACTTCACAATATGTACACAAAAGAATTAGACAGCATGAACTAAGTGTCGTTCACCATAAACAAAAAACTCAAAAGTACCCTGGTACAACACTCCAAACACTCACTCCAAAAATTTTATATCATGAAAATCTTTAAGAGGTGTGTATACTACTATACTATAATAATATTTTCCTATACATAAATAATTGTCGTTTTCTTACTAATACTACCTACTTTTTTTGATTGAATAAATATACGTATATGCACACATTTTTATTATTGGTGCTCTGCCAGAGAGCAGATCCATGATATGATAGCACCACATTTTCATGACCATTTTAGCACCTTTTACTTGATCCAATTCATCATTCTATATATTTTTTTCTATCTATCTAATCTTAATTTCTCTCCTCTCTCTATTTTTATAAATAAATATTTAGTATTGTTATTGATGCTCTGTCAGATTGTTCTTTAGCATAAAATTTAATAACTCTTGAGTTAGTTTCTGTCGAACTTCATTAGAGTACATGTCTCTGAACTGCATTTCAAATTCAATTATTTTGATTCTTTTCGAAATCTAGATTCAGTTTGTTTGCTGTAAAGTTTTCTTTTACGTTTTTAAATCAAGTTTGTCAATCAATAGATTTTAAATGAAGTTTGAGATTTGGTTCGCTCGTTAATGAAGTTTTCTTTTCTTTTATTATTTTGTTGAATTTTATTTGTTGGTAGTTTCAATGATGTGTCATCTCTTGTTAGAAGCATTAATTCCGGAGTTCCGCAAGGTAGTGTTCTTGGTCCACTGCTATAGGTCCAATATATAGTATATAGAAATACCCACAAATGTAGAAACCATGATTGCAACTTTGCAGATGATATGGAAATTCTAGCTCAACATGACAACCAATTACTTGCAAATATAAAAGTGGATGAAATTATGGAAAATAAAAGTAAACAATTTTAAATCAGTTCATGTTACTTTTACACTATGACAAGGCTCAGGCCCTCCTCTTAGATTAAGTGGTGAATTGGCTCCTGTATCCAATGTATTTAAATATCTGGAAATACATTTGGATAGGAGACTAACCTGGCATAAACATATAAATGAGAAGTGCCAGCAGCTTGAACTGATATGTAAGAAATTTAACTGGTTAATGGGCTGGAAATCACAAGTACATCACAATGAACTCCTAAAACAAAAGACAATTAGTAAACCAATGTGGTCCTACGGTCTACAACTATGGGGTGCGACAACTAAATCAAACATTGCAATTCTACAGAGGTTCCAGAATAAAATTTTGAAACAGATTGTGAACGCCCCAAAATATGTACCAAGCTAGCTAATACATGAAGACCTTAGTATTCTAACTGTGGAAAAAAGAAATTAACCATTTCTGCTCCTGATACAAGACTTGGCTAAGTCGACATCCAAATCAACTAGCGTGTGACCTGCTCAAGCCTATACCACCAAAGCGCCTTAAGAGAAGAAACTATAATGATTTATTGCAGCAAATTAAATAAAATCTATTGCTATAATTACAGAAGGTGCTACAGCAGGATAGCAATCATAGACATGCTGCCATAATCAAATTATCTGTAAAAGTAGGTGAATGTACTTATTGTACAGTTAGTTTTATTTAGTTCTCTTTTAATTTCCTAAATATAATTAGTTTATCAGTAAAGTTCTATTTTTTTTTGTCAAATTAATACTAAGTTTACTCATAAATATGTTTTTTATAACTCTAGTTTATACAGTTTTTTTATGAGTTTTAGGTTTCACTTTTTCTTTGCTAAAACGAAGTTGTGAGTCAGTAGAGCTCTATTCCTTTTTATTGAGATTCAGTTTCATAATTAACCACAAATTTATTGGAATAAATAATAAAGTAAATAATATAAAAATAAATTAAATATAATAATAAATAAGTAGATGATACTTATTAATATTAAAAAACTTGTTTTACCTTGAGAAATTTGACTCGGTCTGGGCGACTTGCTCCTGTGATGTCTTTTTTTCCTGAAACACAAAATTAGATTGAAAACATTATTAAAGATCTGTGATGCCATGGTAAGCGTTATCATAATAAAGTCTTGGGTTCAGATCCGCGCTACGGACAACCTGATATGAAGCACTTAAGAATATAATTTTATATATGCTATCATTCAAGTGAAAATGGACTTTAGCCGGAAATTCTGCATCAAATTGAAAAATATATCTATTAGATAAGGTCATAGCCATTAGATTGCCTTCTACTATCAAATAATAAAACAACCATTGGGTTGCCTTCTGATATAACACCTATATTAAGTAGATAGCATAATCAATGGGTTGTCCTCTAAAAAAACTACGTTATTGAGGAAAAGTATCATCACCACATATTATAGAACACTTACTAAGATGCTCTTCTGATATTTTGATGAAACTTGGAATGACAATAGAGTTTACTGCCAAAACAAATTGTTTAAAATATTATAGGCCTACAAGTGGTTTGGTTTTAAAAAGAAATTGAAGTTTAGAAAAATAAGCTATTACATACCTGCTGTGACTCGACCCATCCTCCGACAAGTGCTCCGTGCTCTGTCTCCTCCGCCTACCGGAACCAGTCGATTTCTGCTTAGGCTCCTCCTTCGCCTTCTCCGAAGTTTGGCTTTTCTCCTTATCCGGTGCGGTGACGTTTTGGTAATCCGTGTCGTCAGCATCAGAGTCATTCCCACCTCCTGCTGCAGCGGATATGGTGCATCCAACGAAATCTGAACCGGTGCCGCGCTCGCTCTTGCAACAGGGACGGGAACACACCCTGGGGGAGAATAGACATAATGATTTGTTTCTTTAGCATTATTTAAAAACCGAGTTACTGTATTTTTAGAATCTTACAATTGTTGCTGAAGCTGCTTCCTGCTCCCAGAGTTTTTGCGGTAGCTCTCGGCAGGCCCTCTTGTGTTCCCAGAAGCTGTAGCTGGTCTTTCGCTAGAAGACGCAGGTCTTTGTTGAAATCTGAATTGACATATCTTTGTTTCTTTCTTAAATTTATATCCAACTTAACAAACGAAAATAGATCATACATTCTAAAGCATTTGTAATCAAGACATGGACAGATCTGACATAAAAAATCAGAACATGGACTATAAGAAAGGTATACAAGATCTATCACAAAAGTTTCGGAATGTAGATGCACAATATTTAGAGTATTACTCCATTGAGGCCAAGGAAGGCCAACAAATACCAGAAAAAATGGATAGCAGAGCGTCTGAAGAAAACTGGATCTAATTCATATTAAGTAAAGACTGCATTGAATGTGAATTACAAGGCCAGAAAAAAACGGAGAAAAAATGGACAGCAGAGCGTCTGAAGAAAACTGGATCTAACCCATATAAGTAAAAACTGCATTGAATGTGAATTACAAGGCCAACAAAAACAGAGAAAAATGGACAGCAAAGTGTCTGAAAAAAACTGGATCTGACCCATATTAAGTAAAGACTACATTGAATATGAAATACAAGGTCAACAGAAAACCGAAAAAAATAGACAACAGAGTGTCTGAAAGAAACTGGATCTAACCCATGCTAAGTAAAGAATGCATTCAATGTGAACTACAAACCCAACAAAAACCAGAGAAAAATGGATAGCAGATGAGTGTCTGAAGAAAACTGGATCTAATCCATATTAAGTAAAGACTGCACTGAATGTGAAATACAAGGCCAACAAAAAGCAGAGAAAAATGGACAGCAGAGTGTCTGAAGGAAACTGGATCTAACCTATATTAAATAAAGACTGCATTGAATATGAAATACAAGATCTCAAAGACAAATGCTGATGATGAAGAAAATGCAGACCATAAAGAACTCAGGCAAGCAGGCAAGGTGCAAAAAAATTTAAAGCAAAATGCAAGAAGCATTGGTAGCGAAAGTTCTAAAAAAAGAAGCAAACTATAAACAAGGTAAGGAAGCAACAATAATTAAAAATGGTGCTAAACATCATAGTACCTGAACCTGTACCTTCATAGACTATCTACCACAGAGTAGTAGTAATTATATTAATTTTTATCTGCTTTCCAAAGAAAATGTTTTTAATATTTTTAATTTAGAATTTGGAAAGCAATGAGCCTATTTTGGAGTAAGTGTTTGTATATGTTAATTTTAATTAAACTCACTTTGACTTAGGTTTCTTGGATCTCGGTGCATCATCTAGACAATGGTTAATTTTAGGCTTGGACAATTTAGCCAGATATGCTTCTGATATGCCTTTGAAGACAAAACATAAAAAAATTAAATTCATAAATAAAAAAAAACTATTACTAATTACTATGCTATACTATGTAATACTAATTTGTTCATAAACGACTATAGTCGTCCTCACAGGTTAAAACCAAGTTTTTAATAAAATAATTACCTTTAAAAGGTTTTCTTGTTTTCGATCCAACTGGCTTGACAGTTAATATAGTTTTTCTTTGCCTGGCTGTTTTGAACCCATCATCTAAATTAAGAAATAATTAATAAAAACTACAAGTATCTAGAACATAAAGCTAGTATGAAATGTGCAAAACTCTACAAGAAGAAAAGGAGTAAGATAATATAGATTATTATAATAATAAGAATAAGAAAACAAAGAAGAAGAGTTAGTGCTATTGAAATTACCATGATGACAGTGCTTGGCTTCATCACATTCTCCGCCTTGGATTCTTTTATACCTGCATGAAAAATAATTAAACAATTTTGATAAATTCAACATGACAATTAAATAAAATAAACAATAGTATATGAAAAAGAAAAATACTTTACTGGCAAGCAACCTATATTTAAAAATCCAGGTACCGACCATTCGTTGACGTTTTCTCAAAACCAGCGGCACCAATTACAAAAATTCCAAAGCCATGATTAGAGTTCGGCACTGAATTCTATGTTAATTAATATGTATTACCTGAAAACACATTGTGTGTCCATGGTTCCAATAGCACTTCCTTCAACATCACAAAATGAAACACTAGAGTTGTATGTGTCACTTAGGTCATCATCAACTTTCGCGTCGTTTTGCTCACTGTTGTGAAACTTCGCGTTTTGCTCATCGTTGTGAGACTGCTAACAAAAAAAAGTCAATTTTTTTTTATTGTTTATTTGTTGAATTTATATACACGTACATTAGTCATATACATATTATAAGTTATCTTTAAATTTTTTTTCATTTGATTGTATATAATTATATAGTGCCCCATATATCCTTTTCTTTGTCAATAATGTTACAAAATTAGTTGAGAGGGAGATTTTTTCCCTTACTGTCTCCCTCCATAGTTCTTGCCTACCCTTTTCCCATTTTTCGCACTCCATAATGGCGGGCTTAGCATCCGCCCTAGTCACTCCACCCAAGCAATAGCAATTAGAATCGGTATCGATCCCAATTCTACTCAAGTGAAACAGAGTGTATGTATGATTAAATCTTAGTCTACATATTTTTAAAAAAAAACGATCGACATTCAGTAAACCGTCATACCATGGTCTGATAGGTATTGCTTCTTGTAATGTGCCGTAGAATTTACCTTTGATCTGTTTTGAAACCTAATAATTCAATTTCCATTCTTTGGGAAAATTTTAACTACATGTATAATATTGGAATATAAGGACAATTTATTTTGATGCCACGATAATTCTATGTCATTAGTAAAGTTACATACGGAATCAATAAGATATCGGCGAAAGACACAGGAACATTAGCAATATGATTTTAAACTTTTAAACTGTTCTTCTTTCACTTACCTGGTTAACTTGTTTTTGCTGATGCTTCTCATTATGTTGATGCTTTGGAGAAGAATCCTCCTTCCTAGATTTTGAAATGTCCGTTTCGGAAGACATACAGGAACTTACAGTTTCTAAATTAGATATAAATAAAATTATATAAATTAAATAATATTAATAAATTAAAAATAATCTTTATGAAGCTGCACACACATTGGTAGCTTCAAAGAATTAAACAATTTTAACAAATTGTTGTTTCACGATTAATTTTTTTGCAGACAGTAAAAGAAACTAGATGCAAGTCGCATTTTGCATTAGGAACTTGAATATCAATTATAATTAATTAATAACAAAATCCCTGCCTTTCTGCCAATGATAGATGAGCAGCAGTAAATGCTGCATGGAGTGAGATGAAAGATCTTTCGAAATATTGGATATGATTGCAAAAAAAAAAAACTGGGAAAAACTGAGTGCATTTTTTAAAAAAAGTTTCCTAAAAAGGGGAAAAGGAAGAACTGAAAGGACCAAAACAAGTAAGAGGAATGCAGAGGCCATCGACATATTGTGGGATAAAGAAGTGCAGTAATAAAAAAGTAAGTTATTCAACATTTAGTCCATACATGGTAAAATATAAGAACTTAAGAGGCATATTACAAAAATTGTGAAAAAGGCAATAGTTATAAGAAATAAACAATTAGCAAGCCAAATTTTCAGACAAAACCATAAATATCTCTTTATGGTAGTTAATAAATCTTGTACAATTCATTGATCCTTATGCATTTCGAATTAAAAATACATACCAGCATCAACCACTTGTTGCGTTTTTGGGGGATTTCTAAAGGTCTGTATTCTAGCTCCCGGTACTCCTCTGACTTTAGACTTTTTTAAATTTGAACTGCTATTTGTACGTCCACCAGCACGATACTAAAAAATTGAAAAACCAATAAGAAATGGAAGCAAGTTTTAATATAAGTTTAAAATTGATGCAAATACATGTTTGGAGTTTTTATTGGTAAGGGCGATATAAAAGTGGGAGGAAATTGATAAATATATTATGATAATAAAATGCATCTAACTATAATAATTTCTCAAAATGATTACATCAAAGGTGCGTTTCATTTGCGGATGCAATAAAATTTTTTTAAATAAATGATGACAAAGTCCCAAATAATGTAAATTTTCTGCAAACATTGTCAATCTAATTGAAACTATCATAATACCAGTTTTTTCAACAAATTCTTGCTACGCCAGAATTCATTTTATAATTTTCCTTTATATCTATCATTTACTACTTCTTCCTTACCGGAATAGATCCAGACAACGTTTTACATACAATGATCCTAGGTTGACAACGATCCTCTTGATTCTCCTCACCCCCTTGTCTTTCAGAGACATCTTCTTCAGTGGCAATGAGGAAACTTGAAGTAACTTCACCAGTGACTAAACTGGAACCATCTCCATTGAATGATTCGAAATTGGTGTCATTTGTTACTGCTGAGGCTGTCTCTGCTGCTGGAAAATTGTCAGGGATATATTCGTGATGGGAAACTGTAAATATATAAAGAAGCTAGGTGTGGTTATTATCTATTGATGACAGAGAGAGTTGGAAATAAACTATAGTTGCAATTTATTATTTATTGACTAAAGAGGACGCGTGCAGACATTGGGCTAGGTGTTTGGTAAAAAAAAAAATTAAGTGAATACAAAATTTAATATTGGCATATAAATACACATTTTAAGTCATGTTTATAAAATTATCATCAATCAAAATTATTGTATGTTTTTCTTAGTGCAAAAAATGATGATAAAATAGTTTTTCGCCTTTTTATACTTATTTTTGCATCATTACAATTTTGTTGATACATCGACACTAAATGTTTTAGCAAAATTGGAGCAGGCGATTGA